TATATATATATATATATATATATATATATGGATACCATCGAAGAGAGAGGGAATGTTGATAGAAAAGTTGAAAAAAAAAGAGGATGGAAGAAGGGGAATGAAGTAGAGAAAGGGGGATGAAAACTGTTGGAGAGAGAAATGAAAGCTATCGAGAAGAATGAAGCGGAAGAAGAGGAAAGAATGAAGAGAAAACGGGGAGAAAAAATAAAGAAAAAAGATTGGGAAAATAAACATGGAAGTTATCAAGAGAGATAATAAATGTAAAGGGAAGGAAAATGATGGAAAGTGATGGAAAGTAGAGGGAAGGAAAAGAAGAAATTGGAACGAGGATACATAAACTACGATACATATTCGTGCAAAATTGTGGAATGGACTTTCTTTTTGCTAAAACGATGAGAGAAAAAACTGACGATTGTTTGTAAACATCGAAGAAAAGCAATTTGGCAAGGAAAGTAATTCGAGATGATTTGAGAGAGAGAGAGAAAGAGAAATAACAAACCCGAGACGTAGATTTACCATTACAAGTGTTGAAAAGAATACTGAAGAAATTAGAAGAAAGAAAGAAAGATAAAGAGGATCGTTCGTCATTTTAAAGCGGAATATGTAAAAAAAAAAAGAAAAAAATAGTTATTTGTAAAGCATGCAAAATAAAAAAATTGAGATGACTTACGGCATTGTTTACAGGAAGAAGAGAAGAAGAATTGCGAATTATGAGGGGAAACGTGACGAACGTTGCCGTTACGACAGGAATAGAAAGATATCATGGGCAAAAAAAGAAAGGAAACGCGACACGGGAGATAGAAAACTGACAGAAATCCTATGACACGTTAGACAGTCGGGAGAAACGCAGAAAGAGAATGGCAGCCGAGCAAGGAAAGGATAAACGAAAAATATAGACAGCTGATGGAAATGGACAACAGTGTACAAGCGGAAAATAGTTTTATTGCTTAAAATAATAGCGCAAAGTATATCGACAAGTAAAGAAGCGATATAACCTCAAACGTTACGAGTTCATTCGAATTAGCGTTAATTGGAGGTTAACACTTTTTTGATCGTATTTTTAAAGACAGTTACTTTCGCGAAATTAAAAATTCATTTCATTTATTCATTTCGAATAAACAAGATTATATTTATTGTTCTAAATATATATACTGAAAAAATACTTTTCAATAAAAATGCTTTTAAAACGATCTTTCACACGTTGCTACGTACTTACCTCTAAAACGAAATAAAGAGGAGGACGAAAGATTACAGGAGAAACGGGATAGAAAATAGAAAATTCAAGAAAAACGAATGAAACATTAGAGAGGATGCATCTATACATCCACCGAAAATACGGACATACGTACATATATGTACGCACGCGCACACACGTGTCGTGGATGGAAGAGCAAACGCGGAGAAACAACGGAATACAAAGGAAGAGATCAAGGGAAACAGTAACGGAGAGATGAAATCTGCGTTCAAACAAAGAGATGCGACGAAGGTGAAAACGAGGAAGAGGATCTAAAAATGATGAAAATTGTTGTGCGTTTTTGAATGAACGAACCGAGAGAACTATATGGCAGAGACGATATAAACGTATATATACGTATATACCATTCTCATAAATGAGGACGCACACTTATACCTCCACGTAGAAGATAGGAAGAGGTTCTACAAAACATCTAGGAGCTCTAGCCAAGGATCTAATAAACGAAGAGATAGATAGAGATGAAACTAGAGACAATCGTTCATTTTTTTTTCACATTTCGAGAAATTAAAATATTATATTTTGTTGAATTATATTTTGTCGATAACGAAGAGACTAGATAGTTACATTCCTATAACATATCTTTTATTTAAGAGCATAACTTCTATTTATGCACGATAATGAGCAAAGTATCAAAACTGACTTGGTTTGTCGTTATGAATAAGTACAAGTATCGAATAGATTCGACACGAGTTGTAACGCGGAAACAGTGACGCTGGACTAAGAGTTTGCAGAGGGAGACGTAGCGTAGAAAAGGAGAGGCAAAGCGTATAGGAGAAAGATAAAAAGGAAGGTCGGGAGGGAAGGGAGGGAGGAGGTTACGATACAAATAGAGAAGAGGGTCGTACGTCGCGGGGAAAACGCGTGTACGTGCGTCGATGAACGCGGGTGGAAAGATGAAAGCGGGTGTATAATCCTGCCTAGAAGTAGAACTCCACCGTTGGAAGAAAGGGTAGAAACTCGGGTTGGAGTCTGAAGAACAGAATAAACAGATGTGGGGAGGGGAATAGAGGGGGAAATGGATGAAGAAAGTTGTACGTTGAGTTGATGATGAGATGAAAATCGGGATAAAACTAAAACGTGAGGTTATTTGCCTTGGTCGGTTAAATGCTTTAATAGACAGTGTATAGAGTTGAAAAGCGTAGAATTCGCCAATTGTAAAAGGTTAAATTGTTTTGTTTCGTTAATGTCGCGATAACATCGGTCAAGATAATCGAAATAAAACTAGATAAGAATGATCAAATTAGAAGAAATAAGGAAGAAAGACGAGGACTCTTCGAAAACAAATATAGGTAATAAGAAAGATGATAATCGTAACGTTGGTAAGAGATCAAGGCTCGTCCTTGATGATTAAGAACGAGGAATTAAAATTATTCCAGAAAAAGCGACAAAATAAAAATACGAACGTATTTCGTGATAGCGATGAATTTGCCAAACTTTATTCAGTCAGATCTCGAACAGGAGGATGAGAAAAAATAGAGAAATGAAGAAAGCGAGAAGAATATGGAGAAAGAGAAAATAGGTAAGAGGAAACAGAGATGAAAGAGGATAGGATAGATCAACGAGATTTTTACGAGTGGATGGAGAGAGACAGAGAGAGAGAGAGGAGATATCCACGCGCGGGGGAAGTATTGATCTGTTCGCGCAAACTCCTGAACTCTTACGTTCGCTCCACCGTACCAGAACCATGTCTCCCCTTCCTGTTCCGCTCCACTCCGCCACTAGTCCGTCCCAAAGCCAACGAATGCCCGTCGACGCCGAAAGTGCTTCACTGGCATCGACTATGAGCCTGGTCATCGTCCTCCGTTTGTCCATTATGGACGCACGCGTGTTGTTTCGAGCATTTTCGTCAACTCGATTCGCGTCAGAGGAAGTTGTTGATTGAACTATTTTCTCACGATCATCGTCAAACGGAGGCAAAAGTGTGGTCGGAAGATTGTAAATCGCTAATCAACTTTCTGCTTATAATTACTGCGTATAAAACTTTTTTCTCCTTCCTTAACCTAGAAAATTGATTTATTATAGAAATAATTTAGGGTTTCGAACCAATATGGATAACATTTATCAAAGTAGAAATATCGTATATGTATTATCTATATTAAATTGTATTTAAACATATTTGTATTATATTACGTTGTATATGTAAAAAGTTTCGAGTCAATTGTTTTTATTAATTTCATTAAAAAGATCAGAAATAGCAGATTGAAACGTTGACCACGTCAATCGGTATTAATTCACGCGATAACGGCGGTTTCTTGGTTATGGAACAATGCCGAGATGATTAATATATCCCAGATCGGATATATAGATAATATTGCGACGCAGTTTATTAACCACACTGGGGATAATATCTATGGGGATATGTTTGTCAAGCGGAACTGCGAACATACTTGTGAACGGTTGATTTAATGGGACGTGTGAATGTCGCACGGAATATATTATCTATGTATTCTGTTTCCTTGTGTGCATCTCCGTAATTCTTTTAAGCATTTTATCATTTGTTCCCTTTGTTATTAAATTCGAAGAGAAAATCGAACAAAATTGTAAAGTTTTAAAAAACTTTAGTATGTTAGTTTTTCTCAGATTATTTTTTTTTTTTTTTTGATATAGAATTAATACAGAATCTCTATTAAAATTCCAAAGAATTCATGGCCAACGTGTTTTTTCGGATTATTTTCTATTTTAGAAAACCAAAATTTTGAAATAAAAAATATAATTTTGCAGTAAAAATTATTGATGTATAAAATATAATATATTTGATATAGAAACATACAAATATATCGTCGATATAAGACGTATAAAAATATATATAAGATATATACTCTATATATAAAAATATAATAAAATGTATATAAAATATATGTACTTACTTTACTTACTTATTCTTTGATTGTTAAATTTGAATAATAAACCGACAATCTGAAATTTATTTCGTTGATAAGTTAGACTGCGATTGAAAATTTTCGATTAACGCCATCTCTCGTTTGGACGCTCGAAGCTTCGACTTATTACTAGCAGAATGTACAAGAAGGTATTCTAAAAATCATGAATGTGAAAAAGAAAACATAGTTTTGTGTATAAAAGTAATTAATTAAAAAGTATTTTCAACAAAAAACTATTAATTCAGAAAATTTTTAGAAAAAGTTTATTTTATTTATTAAAGAATAAGATTTTTTTTTGCTAAACTCATTTCGAGCAAGAATGACAATTTTAATTATAGCGATTACATTGCGTTCGTATCGAATCAATTTTCATCATTCAGAGAGATTTAAATCAAATTCACTTATAAGGATCATTTATATTATAAGAATAACCTTGGAAACATGAAACGGAAATTTCAATAGATAACTCCAGATAACCAAGTTCTAAAAGAAAATGTAAATTGAAATTACAAAATTGTTCATATATCTCGTCATAAATTAAAGTAAGTTTTATGATCACGAAATTTTAAACCGTAATTTTAAACCTCTTTTTTATAATAATAAAATTTATTTGCTTATAGAAAATAATTTTTTTAAATTTTTATAAACTTGATTTGTTTTCATTTTTAATATGAACCTGATATATCACGAAATTTTATCGATTTCATTCGAAACGGTTCAATTCGAAGAAAAAAAAAAAATTCTTGAAAATCTTAGAATATCAAACCAAAATTTTATTTCGAAATAAATGTGCAAAACGGATTTTTTTTCATCAACCTGTAATTGATGACAGAATATTTTTCGTTTAAAATTAATTAAGTTTTTTTCATTTCGAAGTGTTCAGATCAAAGACTCGATTAAATAACGATGAGAGATCGAGGAAAGACAAGAGCTTGAGAAAAAAATCGTTGAATGGAAAAAAAATATAAAAAAAAAGAATTAATAGTAGAAACCATGAATCAAGAAAAAGTTTTACTATTAAAAAATTAAAGAAAAAGGATATACTATTTTTCGTTGAAGAAGAAAATACAATGAGATAAATAATTATGTAATAATAGTGGAAATTAATTTTGTAAGTTATTCTTCAAATAAACTAATAAATAATACATAATATTTCGTATTATAGGAAAAGAAAAGTTGTTTTTATTTCTGAACACTCTTCTTTATTTAATTTGTTTACATTAAAAGAATTACAAAATTTATAAAATGATGAGATCTTTCATAAATAAAATAATTTAATATAATTATAAGAAAATTATAATTATGTGTTGAAATTAATAATTAATGTTTAATTTAATTGTTTACAAAAGATATGAGATCACATAAATCTACATTATTTCCTTAATTTTAAAATATATTTCAACATATTATCTGTCAATTTTAGAAATTAATTTTTCGACTTATATTATATAAATTCCATATTATATATATATATAAAATATATTGGAAATTATATTATATTATATTATATATATTATATATTGGAATATATAAATTATATTCATTTATAAAGAGGTTCAATTGTAATATAAACAATATTTAAAATGTAAAGGAAAAATAATTTATTGAAATACAATTCTAATAAAAAAAAGCAATTTTTTTTTTTGTTCTTTTTCAAGGCAGTACGTTATTTTACGTGAAATGACAAAAAGAAAAATTAGAAAGAAAGAATATGACAGAAATAATATAAGCAAATGTAATTGTATCCATTTCTATCAGTGACTTTTTGAGAGTAAATTGTGCGACTATGTAATTAAATAAGATTTTGTTTACCATTCAAAATTTTGTACAATAGTATGCAACAGATTTGTAACATTAAAATATCAGTCGATGCAATTAGCCGATTTTTTAATTTGTAATCTGCCTATATCATATTATTTAAGCCCTTCACCATCAATACTATTCAATAAATACTATTATCTATTATTTCAGATTGATATCTAGAATTGTACTTATTTTATTCAAAAAGAATAATTACTTTATTGTCATCTTGATTGTTTGTTTATCTATTCTGAATGCAATTTAGAAATGCAATTTACTTTTTTAATTATAAATTAGTTTGCCTATGTTTCTTTCACTTGTCACGATTTTTAAATTTTTCTTTTAATTTTTTGTCACCAAACAACAATTTATTAATGAGAAATTTCTCATAAAATTTGATTAAAAAAAAAAAAAAATGAAGTGATAGCTGAAAACAAATATAACGAAAGTAAAATTATAAAATCAATGACTATTTATAAATGGTATCTGAAAAACATTGAAACTATAAAACGATGAGAATCCTAAATAAAGTTCTACAAGAAGATTTCCAACATTTCTTCGAGCAATAAAAATACCATTGGACGAGTATATACGTTCGAAACAAGATTACTTCGAAGAAGATACCATCTATTTGGAAAAGAATTGAATTTTACTGTAATTTTGACGTAATTTCATCAATTTTTTGAATAGAGTAGTAAGTATTACTTATTTGTAGGGCAAATTTCCTGTGACAAGCTTCATTCGTGGAAACAATGAATTCTCTTTTATAATAAAGTTAATGGTTTAATAAAAGAAAATTAGCTAGTTAAAATCGTAAATCTAGACGAGATAATTAAGTTATTCACGCACATTTGCTCGCTTATCACTATAAGAGCGCTTATCACGAATAAAATCTATTCAAAGTTACTTATTAATTGCTCAAGGTTATTTTCCCCAATGCTTGCCCAAATTTCATTAATCTTTTTTTTTTTCTTTTTTTTCATTGATTCGTCTATTGCATTTATCAATTTGTAATTAAAGTAAATTAATTAATATTTTCAAAATGATCTACAGTACTAATTTTAATTACCAGTTTTCTTTAAATATTGAATGATAATATTCTAACCTAGTTAATAATTGTAACGATACGATGAATCATTATCATAGTTTGTACAAAATGGTATTAATAGATACTTTTAACTTTGTCTTATAATTTTTTTTTGTTTTTCCTTTTTCTCATCTAATAGTTATAACAATAGTGATGGATTTTTTTTAAAATTCTCAATTTGTTAGAAGCAGATCGTTACTTATTCCACAGAATTAAAATATAGATCTCTAGTCAATGTTGAAGTGAAAGTAGGCATTTGCTTCTTCTTGTCTTTATCCGATTCATAATGTTGAGATGAATATTCCGTAGCAACTTTTCGTAATGTTATCGTTAACATTTTCAACAGGTCGCAATCTCTCCAATGCTTGTTAATAACTTTGCACAAAGTTTGAATATACCACGAACCTTGATTCGTATCACGAAACGAATAACAACCTACGAACGGAATAAATATCTTTACTATAAAAATTCGTTCCAGATAAAAAAAAAAATCTATTTACAATCAAAAGAAAAAAAAAATAAATAAATAAAAGGAAATACCTTCCATAGTGCTATAAGCATATAAAAAATCTGCAGTTGTAGGAAGTATATAAGTCATTTCATCTGAATCTGTACCACAGGATCTACCTTGAATACCTGAATCGCTAGCTACACCTCTACAAGCCTGACAGAGATAAGAAACAATAATCGATTCTCGTAAGAAAAAGCAACGATATTTATAAATAATTATACATTATTGTATCATAAGTAATATTTATTTGTATCACAATTAATATTAAAACGATAAGTAGCCATTCACACGATTTTTGCAATACTTTTACCTGTACGAAAAATAGTTTTGGTTTACCAGCCAATGATATGCAACTATCCGAATTGAATGGTTGCCAAATCATCTGAACCGGATAAGTCATGTCGTACGCAGATACATTATCACCGACTTTACCATGAGTTAATACAAAGAAACATATGCAGTCGCAATCGTAGTGTTCTTCATTTTGCACTGAAACATAACCTATATTATTATTTCTATCTTATATCGAAGGAAAAATTATATTTATTCGTCAAAAGCTTGCAATTGAATTAAGTTAAGAGCAAACATCTATCTATTATTATGAGATTATAAGATTCCAATCTTATTTCATTTTTGTCAAAACAATAATCAAATGGGAAAACTCTAAATCTAATCTAAATTTAAAGAGGAAAAAATATTACTTATGAGAAGAAGATTTAAAAGCGATAATAGAAATTTAGGTTAAGTTCAGAAGATTATAGATGACGAAGCCATCCAAATGTGATTCATTCAAAGAAATTTGAATATAGTCGTTTTCCTTCGAGTGTATTCAATGATAAGCAAACTGTTACCTTCATCGATAAAAAATTTTCTTTGATTATGAAACTCATCGATAAAATCGTTTAAATTCTTTTTCTATAAAAAGAAGTTTTGAAGAAGCCGCGTTAAGATTGATCCCACACCGTTCTAAAAATATCCGAGTCCGATTTTTCTCTAATTCGATTTTTATTATTATCTCGCAAACAGAAATGAAGCGTGTAACGAATAAATATATACAAACCTGTTTATTGATTACGTACAATTCATAATGACATCCATAATTTCGTTGACCCTCAAATCCTTATAAATCTTCACTTCGAAACCAAGAGCAGAAAAGGTTTCGTTTATCGCATACTCGTCGTAGTTTGTCCCTTCTCGACGTGATTCTCTTTCATTTTCGAACTTCTCGTGGTTGAATATAATGCATTTACCGCGTTTTTTCTGCGTCATCAAGTAGACAGGAGAATCTTTCGGCGTAACGAATTTAGCAAATCTGTAATGAAAACGTTTCGCTATAATTAATTAATTGATATATATATATGTGTGTGTATATATATATATATATATATATTTCGTAGAAACGCAGAAGAAAAGAAGAAGAAATTTAAATTTAAATTCATTTACTTTCTATGCTTGTATTGATTCCATACAATTCCTGATTCGGGTGTTCCTGATTCTAATGTTCCCAACATCTCGGCATCCGTCATATCGTTCACATCGGAACTTTCGCCGAAATTTGTCGATTCGGAAGAGGCCTGCAAATATTTTTTATTTTAAAATTCTTTTTATTCAAATTTTTTCCAACAATCAATTATGTTTTACAATAATTTATCAATTTAATGATATTAACGTATAAGTTGTATCACAATTATTATGTTAATAATAAATTTTGTATTTTATAATAATATAATAAATCGATTGTATGGATATTCGATATTCGATGTAGAAATATTTTATATAATATTCAATTAATTAAAAATTAACGATTAAAAATACTTATCATCTCCAAATGACCATTTCTTTCATAAATTTTAATTTAATGATTCATAATTTAATTATTTTTCATTTCTGATGCAATGCAATAACGCATAGCAAATCGAAATCGATTTGATTTGCATCATAACTCGCTTGTCTTCGTAGCATCCATATATTCTCTATTGAAAATTTTAGATAGACTGCCATTTAAAAAAAATTGTAAAATTTTTTCTCAAGATTTCCAAAAAGGTTGAAAACGAGGTGAGAAAAGAATACTTTTTTATTAATTCTTTCATTTTTAAATTAATCGCGTGAATTTATTTATAATTCTCTTCCATATTATATGAATAAGAAATCGTATACATATAGTGTACATAAGTTATATATTGACGAATCGAATGTTTTTACAATTAAATTTAAAGAGGAAAAAGTATTATTTATGAAGAAGATTTAAAAACGATAATAGAAATTTAGGTTAAGTTCAGAAGATTATGGATGACGAAGCCATCCAAATGTGATTCAATGATCATAAGATTAAAGAAATGCTTGAAATTAATCGATAATTCAATAATTGAAGAAATAGAAAATAAGAATAATAATGGCATTATTATATTATTATAATCATTATTATAATATTATGTATCGCATTAAAATTATCTCAATTTCTGGTATCATATAATATCTAATATCGATTCGTAACCTATCGTTCTTCGACACGTGATCTTTTCTTTTTTTTCTTTTTTTTTTTTTTTTCAAATCTTGATAGTTTTACGATAAAACGAACACGTTATCAAACAAAAAACGATAAAACATGATAAAACGGATTTCTGCAATGGCAAAAAGCTGTATTGTCTTTTTTTCGATTTTCTATATATATCCTCAAAATACTTCGTTTTCTAATTTCGATACAATGCGAAGAATCAAAGGAACAATCTTTGTTGAAAAGTTTCAAAATTATCACGATTGGAAACGTTCTATAAGATCGTAATTTGAACAATTAATTTAACTTTTCATTAAAGAGTATATTTTAAATGAGTATACTTCTTCTATCGATAGTCAAGTTAAATTTTGATTTGAAATTTCGACATTTAATAGTTGACTTACTTGATTAATTCAATTACATTCTGAATCTAATATATATATATATATATATATATATATATTCTTAGCTAAAGAATAGGATAAGTGGCAGTTGTGTATCGTGCAATGTGTTACAATATAGCAATAGTTTCTTGTGAATAGACAAATTCGAAAACTGATAATTGATAATTTGTAAAAGAAGAAAAAAATTATTCAAAATAATAACTTTTACGATTTTTAAAAAAAGAAGAAAAAATTAATTGTTAAATTCGTTTTTTTATTAATTATCTTAAGTCAATTATCTTAAGTATTAAAAATATATATTTATGTATATAATAATATGAATAATGATAAGTTTCATCATTTATATATACAATAGAATGTATCTATTAATCTTTGATTAAAAGTTAATTAATGTTTATTTATTATCAATTTTTTTTCTTTCACATCTAATACTTTGATAAGAATAAGTCAAAGAACAAAAAATAAGTCACTTCCGATCCAATAACAAACAAATGAGAAAACAATAGGATTTATGTATTTCGCAATTATCAGTTCTTTGTCTTCGTTATTTTCATAAACAAAAAATATTTATAATAAATTTATTAAATAACAATTTATTTAATAGCATTTATTAAATTCTTTAAAGCTTAAATCTCTAGTTTTAGAAACAAATTACATATTTTTTTTTTTTTGCAATTATAATACGTTCGAATAATTTTTCAATTCTACCAAAGACATTTTGTTTATTTTCAAATTCAATCAATTGGTTTCTTTTTGTTTCCATATCTTCAATTCGTTCATTTATCTCGATAATAATGTTATTCGATAATTTTCATAAAGAAAACATGATTCACTTTAAAATTGCAGAAAAATGATAGACGATAACAAAAATCTAAGCAATAAAGGGAAACGATATACGTACATGTATGTTTTAGAATTCTATTATGAATTTATAATATTCTAATATTCCGATATGAAAATATTCGAATTAAATTTTTATTAGATTCTTTTCTTTCAAATTAATAAAGTTAAACTTTTGAATATTAACTGCATATTAATTATATGTAATTTTTGAACAATTTGATAAAATATAAAATTACTTCAACATGCTAGAAAACAAGAATAGGTTATTAATTTAAATGATTTTAAATCCTTTTGCATTGCAGAAGCTTTGATACTCCCATCGCCAATGATGAAAATTAGGCGGGAATGTACGCGAATACGTGTTTGTATTCTTAATAACATTCTATAAATATATAAATCTCAATGAAAAATTTATAAAACGTGATTATGAATAACATTTTACGTACACATGTATTCCCATACTGAAAGACAGAATAAAAGCTTCGAAATAAAACGTAGGAATTATTTGAAAAAAAATATAAATTATTGTCTCATATCCTGATCAAGTATATCTATTCAGCTTCAAATTATCGAGTGTTTCTCATAGTTTATCATTATCATAATCATGTGATAGTGATTTCGAAGGTCATTTTTCATTAAACAAAAAAAAATGCACATTGAACAAATGATCGACAATATGAATGAATGAAGCAACAATAATAAATGTTTGTTCAAACATTAATGCAGATATCACTTTTTTCAAATATGCATGATTTCATACATATATTTTTTGCACAAAGCAAGATAGAAAACGTGTGAAACTTCAACTTAATATAACATTATTACCTCGTTATTGGGTTCATTCGATTCGTTCAAACTTGGCTGATCATGGTCGATTTTATACATTCTCTCAAACAAGTAATTCGAAAAATAAATAGTGGAACGAGTGATCAGGTAAAGCAGAATTATGAACATGATGTACTCTTGGACGTGCTGTATATTTATACTTTATATAAGTGAAGAATTATAGCTTATCATCATTATCACTCACTATCGGATGAGCAATATATATATATATAAAATATATTATTATATATTATATTATATATATATTATATATTATTATATATATTATTATATATATATTATATATGAATAAATGTAATTTATTAATATATATTATATATATTAAAAGTATTTATAATATATATATATCAATTTTTATTTTATTATTTTAAGAATATTTTTATAATTATTTATTCTTTCATTTTGTAAAAATCGATTGAAATAAATTAAGTCAATTAATTTCTTAACAAAAATTTCTCGAAATTAATACAATAAATTGGATAATTGAGAATTAATCTGAATATTAGAATATTGGAATCAAAATATGATTCGAATATAATTAATCAAAATTTGGAATTTCTTTTGTATTTTGTTAAACGTAAAAAAAAAAAAGTAGTCGATGAAAAAGAAAATAGAACTTTGTTTCAGAATACATAAAGAAGAATCATTCTATTTGATTATTATACTTGACCTTTCTTGCATTTCTTTTTTTCAGAATATTTTTTCTCAGTACTTAGCTAATCAATTTCTTTTCGCATTTGATATTTAATCTTGTTATTTATCTTTTTGATTTTGATTATCTAAATTTTTCGCATATTTATAAACAATTGCTGTGAGTTGTCAATAATATCCCAATTTTTACAATCGTGGACGAAAAATAACATATTTTATTAATTTTTTCTGAACAATTTTGAAAATAATAATAGTACATATGTATTGTCTTTTTAAGTATTACTATAAAATATTGAAATTAATTAAATATTTATATATGTAAATATTTAATATATACAATTTTCAGGTGATTAATAGATTGTTTTCCAATTTAATATAGATTATAATTTATCGTTTATATATATATTTATTATTGAAAAAGTTTTTTAAAAAAATTTTATACCTTAATTTTTCTTGATTCATTTTGAATGACGAATTATGAATGACATTCATCCTATACGAAGCAACTAATTAATTTATTTATTATTCGAATAAGCTGTAAATCGATATAATTGTTTTTCATTAAAAAAATATTCATTGTATTCAAATTATTTATTAATTTTGTAATTTTTTTGACACATGTTATTTGGATTTGTTTGTTTAAATACGAGATACGTATCCAATTATATACTATCGTCATACAATATACTATCGTCGTGTCGCAGTTGGATAAAATTTGAATGAAATTAAGAATAAAATTATTTCAATAATAAGTTTCTTCAATAATTTATTCAAAGCATCGAAAAATCAACCGATGTTACATCAATTGTAATGTAACTACGAATAAATGTCAAGCATTTTAAATAAAATTATTTAAAAAATTTAGTTATTTTAAAGTAGTAAAATAACTATTTTAAAATAACTTTATTTAAAATTTTAACTAGTTACTTTTTTAGCGAACTTAATACTGAATTTTCCAGCTCACTTTGCATTCTACCATTCTATGCATTCTATGATTGGCCAATATTTTTTGTTAACAAAGACGAAATAAAAGTTTTTACAAAAGAAAATGTTGAAGTTATTTACGGAATCTATTATATTAATTAAATGATATTCTTATATTTTTAGAATTTTTATATATACATATATATATACATATTTACCATAAATGTTCATTATAAATTAATCTTGAAATATAATCATTTATTGATAATAATTTATAAAATAAGATTAAAAATAGGATCAAATTGCATTAAATAAATATTTTGTATATAAATTAGAAAAAGATAAGATAATTTAAATAAAGATAATTAAAAATAAACTCGAGTTTGTAACTTTATTAATTAGAGAATGACTCAGAATTATCGATAAACAATATTGTTAATATATTATATATAATATTATAAATTAATAATGAAAACATATTTCATTGTTCATGATTGTTTGATTTTTTGTTTCATTTGTATTAAATTGTTTTACATTTATATATATTTCATATTATCAATATAATTTATATATTGTTATTTTCATTAATATTAATATTAGTAATATATTATTAATATATTAATAATAATATATTATAAAATTATAAATTATAAAATAAAATTTAAAAAATAATATTAATATTAATTTTTTCTATTAATTATGCATTATAAAATATAAAATATTTATAATATATTTGCAAGTAATTTAAATTTGGCGCACTAATGTATCCTCTAATTAAATTGAAGGATAAAAATTCAACATGAAAAAAAAATACAAAAGTTTCATATATAGATATAATTTTTGAATTAATTAATTCTAGTTATTAATTTTTAAAAATTTTTGATTCTATTCTTCAAAATTTATAAAAAATTCAATATATTTAATATTCCAAACTAAATTCAATTGAAATTAATACTAAAATCAATTATGAATGTAAATATTTAAATACATGTAATAAAACATTAGATGACAATAGACTTTGTCATATAATTTTATTTATATTTATATATATTTTTACCCATACTAACAAAAATAAGAGGCTTCCGCCATATTTTCCTGTGTCCATCAATATTCTATCAACGAAGCAACATTCAACAGTTTTGTTTCTTTAATAACGAAATTACGTAAATATAACAATTCGATAGATTAATTATTTTTATAATCTTTAAGTGTCACAGTTGGTTTTTTGAAACAAAAAGTTTCATTCGCAATTTAATATGTTTTGTGATTGTTTTTGTTAATTACATTGTATTTAAATATTCTTTAATATTTGATCATGTCTTTCAATCGATTGTCATTTTTTAAAATAATAATTTATTTAAATAATTTTTTTATTTAAAAAATGACGAAGTTTAATTGATCATATATTCTTTTTCATATTTCTTTCACATACTTCAATCTTTGCAAAAAATAAAAGAAATTGCGCATTTAGTTAAAATGCATTTTCAATTTATGTCAGAATAATAATTTGTGTATGGATTATTTCGAAGAACTATACGAATCAAAGTATATAAGTATATATTCCAAAAATTTTTATATTTTTTTATATTTTGTGATGAAAATAATATAATAATAATAATTATAATATAATATATTTATCTTAATATTGTATATTTAATTTCAGTTATGAATCTATTTTATGGGATAAATTAAGAAAGAATTTGTAAAAATAATTTCTCGTACAAATGTACAATTATTCTAAATAAATTCAAATTTTAGAATATATTTTTCAAAATGATAAACTCAACCCTGAATCCTTATTTAAATTCAAATACTTCACTTGGTATAGATCAAGCTTATTTCAGTATTTTAAATTTGTATCTTAATCCTGTTATATTTTATGCAATAGCATGGGAAGCTTATACAGTATGTATTTTTTTTTTAAATTAATTTATATATTTTATATAAATAAACATTTAAATTTCATTATAATTATTAATTTATAGGGAAATGGTATTCCAATAGCTACTTTAGAACCACATAGTAACACAACTTTGAAAATAAGCACAAAATATCCATTACATATATATTATCAATCTATTGAAGCTGACAGAGTTTATGAATATTGTCAGTAAGTATCTTTTTCTAAATATATATAATATTTGTTATATGTATTATATTTTATATTATATATTTTTTTTAATATATATTTGTTTCTTCATTTATATCAAATTATCTTTTTTATCTTTCTTATAGTACAACTTATACTTTCAAAGAACATGGTAGTTATGGATGGAATATATCAAGTGCTTATTTGTGTTCTAATATTTATGTATTACATGAACCAACAGAGAGCTATCTTCGTAAGTTGTTTTAATATATTATTGCATTTAAAATTAATTATATAATATTAATAGAGAAATAATAGATATTATTTCTTTTACAGCAATTTTGGCAGCTTTTATAATATATGTTTTATTAGCAATTTTATGGACAACATTCAAAGTTATTATACGAGTAATAAGAGGAAAATTATCACCCAATAATATTTATGATGTAATATATTATATTTTTAATATATTAATATATATATATATTAATATAGATATTAATTAATATATATATTATTATAATTTTATTTCATTTATTCAATTTCATTTTAGGATTTAGATAGACTTCAAGAAGCAGAAAATGCAATAAATTTAGTAGTTAGAACTACAAAATTCAGCACAAGAATACATTCAGTAGACACATTCAGAGGGTATTTTTATATTCTTCATACATTTTCTTCATAGTTGTCATTTGAGATTCATATTATTTATATTAGAATTATTTATTATAGAATTGCTGTACTATTGATGATATTTGTGAATAATGGAGGAGGAAAATATATTTTTTTCAATCATAGTGCATGGTTTGGACTTTCAATAGCTGATTTAATACTTCCTTGGTAAGGAATTGTTTGTATCATAATTAATATTCTAAATAATATAACAAATAACTTACAGGTTTGCATGGATTATGGGACTAATGATAACTGTTTCAAAACGCACAGAACTTCGTTTAACAACTTCACGTATTAAAATAACTTTATACTGTCTTCGACGATCAGCAATATTGATTTTTCTTGGATTGATATTGAATTCAAAGGATAGTGAATCCCTACACGATCTTCGTTTTCCCGGTGTTCTTCAATTATTAGGTGTATCGTATTTTGTATGCGCCATATTAGAAACAATTTTTATGAAACCTCATTCTCAGGTTAGTGTATAGACTTTTTTATCACATAAAATTTTTATATTTATTTGATAAGTATCAAAAATAACTTATTAGGATATCTTACACCAGTTTGGCCGTTTCGCTATGTTTCGAGATATTTTAGAAAGCTGGCCTCAATGGTTGATTATGGCTGGCATTGTGACTACACATACTTTGATTACTTTTCTTCTTCCTATATCGAATTGTCCAAAGGGTTATTTTGGTCCTGGTGGAGAATATCATTTTCGTGGAAAATATATGAATTGTACTGCAGGTGCAGCTGGTTATATAGATAGATTAATTTTTGGAAATCATACATACAATCATACAG